CAGTATCAAGTGAGTCTCCTCACTTATCTTACATGTGTGGTAGAATAGTTGTATTTGTACTGACCACCTGGGTGTAGCTGTTATGATTATGTGATGTTGTTTATATTTAACGGGGATGGCTGATAGTCTCCAGGGTTGCCGATAACCCACATGACGTGCTGTTAGCCCATTGGGGCTGCTGATAGTCCCCAGGGTTACGGATAACCCATAATTGTTTACTTATGTTGTGTTGTATGTGGTATATTGGGGAACTCACTAAGATTTCTGCTTACAATTGTTGATTTATATGTGGCAGGTCTAATTATACACACTCGTTGGGAGATTTACTATTGGGACGGTTTATGAACTATGATATTTGTGATACTGGTTGTTTTGGGATAATTATGTATTGATAACTTGGTTGTTGTAACGCCCGTAGATCCGGGCAAGTCAATTTAGAGATAATAGGGGTCGAAAACGACTTTTTGACAAAAGATTATTTAGAATAAATAATCTTAACCAAGTTCTAGAATACATCTCAAGGTTTCCATACATATAAATAACGCCGAAATCCGAGTTATAACGAAGAAGTTATGACCCGTCGAAGTTTTACGGCAGAATCGGCACGGCACCGGGAGACGTAAATAGTGAATTTACGATAGAGAGACTTTTAGCCTTAGCGATCTAAACGAAAGTCGTAGAAAACGTTAAACCGAGAACATACAAAAAAAGTACGCCCAAATCTGACTTCGTATGAGGAAGTTATGAATTTTCTAAGATTTGGCATAGCAGTGGACGACCCGAAACTCGAATTTTAGATCGGGCGGTTTTTGGCCTACGCGACCTAAAGGAGAATTGAAGATATCATTAATACAAACTCAACGGTAAAAAGACAGACGAAAACGGAGTCCGTATGTAGAAGTTATGAATTTTACGCGGACATTTAACAGTATAATCTCCTCGTACTGTTAAATTTAAGATTGGTCGAGAATTAGCCGACGGAGTCAAAATGAAAGTTGTAGATCTTATTTTTACCTACGCGTGGATATAAAGAACGTCAAATACGGAGGTCGTATGTGAAAGTTACAGATTTTAGAAGTCGGAAGTGTGCTGTGCGAAAATGGGTGATGTGGCACAATCTTGGCCATTGCTTTCTCCCCATGTCTTGCCACTAGATGGTGACATGTGGCACCAAGTTCAGCTATTTTTCACCCTATAAATAGAACCTCTCCCACTCTCATTTTCTTCACACCTTTCCCATTCTTTCTTCTCTTTACTCTCTCTCTAGAACCTCTCTCTAGCCCCGAAACCCCCCGAAAAGCCTAGGGAACCTCCCTAGCACGAGGCGGAAGCCCCGGAGTGCTCGACGGCTCCGAGAAGAAGAGCTTTTCGGCTCGGGAACGCTGCTCCAAGCAAAGCCCGGTTTTCTATAAAACCCGCTGTAAGTGAGCTACGCCTACGCTATTTTTAATATATCGTTTATTTAATTATAGTAGCGTTATTAGGAACTTATAATAAGTACTTGGGCTATTATTATGGGTTATATAAGTATTGTTTAACGCTTATATAATAGTAATAATAGCTAGACTATTAATTAGTCTCGGCGAATAATAGACTAAACTCTAGTGGTAATAATACTAAGTTTTGTCGAAGAAATTATTTTTAAGAAGCGAATCGCTGTCTGAGTTCGGATTCACCACCTTTTCAAGTGAGTGCATAGTTACTTTCATCTTACACATAGATGTGAAGTATTTTATATAAATTACGTGCTATGTGTGCATATTATCTGTATACTTGCTATCTATGCTGAATGAACGATTTTATACATGTTTTAAATGATTTAAACTGTATATATATATATATATATATATATATATATACGAGAATATGTTGGGTAAAACATGGGTAGATGTAATAGATGGAATATGAGTTGAGAGGTGTTATAGACCACGAGGTGAGTGTGAGAGGTGGACGATGTGAGAAGCCTTTCCCAAATGATGGCCCCGTCATCTAGCAGAGTATGGATGACAACCACGGACTATTCTAGACAGTCCAGTGGAACACTGGCAGACTTGCAACCTGTAGGTGTTGTGAACGATGTGTTCACCGGTGTACTCTAAAAACCCATTGACATGTATTGCGAGTGGACTCTCGAAAACGATACTGTCAATAAACGAGATAACCCTAGCAGCTGTGCTCGAAGGACAATACTAGTAGTTGCGCCTCACATAGAATGTCACAATTCTGGCAGCTACGCCTAAGTGATAGAACTAGCAGCTGTGCTTGACAGATGTGTCATTGACAACAATGGACTTCGTGCCGATTCCTTAGGATGATCCTTAGGAATGAATGAACGAGGAATAATTGATTCTTAGGGTAGATCCTTAAGAGTAAAGAAGATAATAGGGATGGGTAATTGGGTTGATTGTTTGATGTTTAAACATAATAATTATATTATTGTGGGTTGAAAACCCTATGTACTCACCAGGTTTCCCAACCTGACCCACTCAGTTTATTTGTATCACAGGTGTCGATATGAAGTTACATTACACTGAGAGATTTAAAAGAGATGTAGATCACTAGTGTAAATGAATGTAAGTTATGTTTATGCTTATGTTTCTGTATTAACGATGACATCCCAAATGTTTTAAAATGAATAAAAATACATTTCTTCGGAAATGCTTTGATAACGTATTTATCATGTTTTTCTGGGAACAAATTCCGCAAGATTTTTATTAAAAGAAGTACTCTGATTTTTATAAAGCATAAACAAAATCGGTCTTTTCTGGCCGTGAAAATGGGGATGTCACAGTTGTGAAATCTTGATTTTGGTAAATTTAAAAATGAAAAATTTGGGATAAGTTTTGAGGTGTCACAATTTGGTTTCAGAGCCTTGGTTTGAGGGATTTGGATGAACCTCCGGGTGATTCCAAACTCAAACTAAGGATCTGAATTTTTTTTAGAACCTAACAAAGAAATGAAGACTTTTACATGAGAAAAACCCAGAGAAGCAATGTTGGATGGAAGAAGTCAGGTTGTTAGATGCACTTGAACCCTACTTAACAAAGGCTTTTGACGGGGTGCAAGGGCAATTCGTTTGCATGGGCTGGAGAAGACTTTTTCAGATATAAGAGTCGGTTTACAAGGAGCTATGCATGAAGTTCCTGACCACTGTTCGATTCAGAAAGAAGAAGGGCATTCATGAGGGGAAAATATCACATTTTGTTTAGGAGGAGAACGAAAGGAGTTGAGTTTGGCAGATTTTGCACTGAGGACGGGCTAATACACATGCATGGGTTGATATCAACTATCAAGATTACATTTTTATGCATTTGGGACACCTAAAACGTCCAGATCTAGTGTCCAAACTCTTGGGGCAAGCTTAACCTCATAAAGACAAACCAAAGGGACCAAAATGTGCCATAAACCACTCCATACAAGATCTATCCAAAGAGATGCCAATATGAGAGCTTTTTACCTTCAATAGGTTGCAAAAGGTGAATAACTTCTGGATCTACAAGCCCCACTCCAAGTGATGATCCTTCAACAACCTTCAATCTATTCAAAATGCTCAAGAACACTCCAAAATCCCTTACAAGAGCTTAAGAACTCCAAGATGGTGGCTAAGGGTTGAGATTATGGTTTAGGAGTTATGTAGGCTGATAAGAGGCAAGGCTCAAAGAATAATTGAAGCTTAAATAGGGTAAAACCCTAGAAATTAGGGTTTCTATCTGAAGGGAGTACGCCCGCGTACCCCTTAGTACGCCTGTCGTACTCAAAAGGCCTCCGCGATCTGATCACCTACTACGCCCTGCGTACACGACGAGTACGCCCCGCGTACTCGATGAACCTCTACAACACTTAAATTTCATTTGACCATAACTCCTTCGTTCTAAGTCCACTTTCGACGAACTTTATATCCACGAAAAGGTGACGAGAAACCTTACACTTCTATCAACACACCCTCGCCTAAATATCTTCCGAACAAAAACCCAAAACTCATAATGGCCCGAACTGCCAAATTATGATTATACCCCTTGGTTCCGAAACACAACCGAACTCTCAGACCACCTAATCTATAATACCGATGACCAAAAAGGTTAATTCTCTTCTTCCCCAAGACCCTAAGCCTTATGATAACTGATAACCGGGCCACGACCCCTAGTAATGAAATGATTCAGAACTGGGTGGTACATCCACGTTCCAGTTGTATCCCCATAATAGTTGATGCTTGAAGAACTCGACATCGATTTCATGTTTCCCGTTTGCCCTAATCGCCCCTTTGATTGTGGATGAAGAAGAAGAACCCGATGCGTACACTGCTTCAATTTATCCATCTTAAATGACATGTAGGATGCCATTTGACATGTTGCTTCCACGTAAGGTGACACATCAGTTGGGTACCAATAAACCCATTAATTAACCATCTCTGATTACATTTACCAGTAATCAGGATTTAATTACAAAAAAAAAGATAAGGACTAAATCGACTATAAAACATAAAGATTTTTCCTATACTTTTCCCTGTCAAAAATTCAAAAGTTAATCTAAAAGGACATATTCGTACAAGAGTTTAGGTCATTTTTTATCATTTAACTTTTGGCTTTGTACTCATTTGGTCATTTAACTCATTTTAAGCTTTAAAAGGTCACCGAACTTTTGGCCTTATGCTTATTTAGTCACCTAACTTTTGGTTTGATCACTTAAGTTTTGACTTTATGATCATTTAGCCACATAACTTTTAAAATCGTACTCATCTAGTCACTAAACATTAAAAATAAAGTTATAAAAATAAGCACAACTTCAAAAGTTAAGTGACTAAATGAGCACAATTTTAAAACTTAAAATGAATTAATTGACCAAATGAATACAAAATCAATGAGTTAAATGATCAAATAAACACAAAACAAAAAATTAAATTATAAAAAATGAGCTTATGCCGTGGTACAAACCACAAGGACCAAAATTCAAATTTACTCTATAATAAATAATAAAAGGACCGAATCTGTAAATCTAGTAGGTCACTCGTTAGGCGTTTCTGCCCCTTGCAAGCTACGAACATCGAACCAAGATTGCTTTGGTTACTTCCGATCCAGGCCGACGCCCTAGAGATAGACCCGATTCCAAAGCACACAGTAAACGGCTGTAGTCTGTACTATTCGTCGGACTATATCGTAGTGAAGTCGCCGAACGATAGGCGGTTATACAGATACATACAGCTGCCGAATGGCCTCTGTGCTTTGCTTGTGCATGATCCTGATATTTATATGAACGGGCCACCGGAAAGTACCAGGCCTGATGAAATCGGCGATGATGATGCCGATGAGGAAGATGGCGAAGATGATGAGGATGAAAGCGGAGAAGAAGAAGACGAAGGAGAAGACGACGACGACGATGATGATTAAGGCAATGAAGGAAAAAAAATCAACTAAAAAGGTTTAGTTATCAATCTTCAGCTATTGGGTCGAAAATTGAGGGGTACTTTCACCTTCACATGTCATAATGGAAACATCAACATGTTTAAATCGACGAGTGTCGTAAAATTGGTTTGAGCATTTTAAAAATGGAACTACTTCGTTTTGATGCTTCTACTATGTTATAATTTCTATGGCAGCTTCTCATGTTGAATTATAGTTTTGAAATACTTGCTTGCTCATTTGGAACTGAGTGAGACTTTATGGTTTTTATTGGAGTGAAGATATATTTTGGTTCTCTACTGTGCCTTTGATTTTACAAAGTTGTAGCTTTTTCTTTCTTGCTTTCGTTTGTAGGTTTTATCATTTTACTTATAAATATTTAAGATCATTTAGCATATAATGAGGAAAGTTAAAGGTTAACTAATGACTTTGGAGCTATTTATGATTGAATCTGATTACATTTATAGACTGAAATTGTTATTATTTTGCAGGCTGCAGCAGCAATGTGTGTAGGGATGGGTAGCTTTTGTGATCCTTTAGAGGCACAGAGTCTCATGATACAGGTCTAGTATGGGATGGGTCCGTATCAATTGGTATCGGAGCCATCCCCATCTTGCAAGGTTCCAACACTCGGAGTGGTGGCCTACGAAGTGGTGACCCAAAAAGAGGAAAAAGAGGGGTGTCAACCTTCAGTGGTTCTTTATCAGTCTTGCACATTTTCTTGGTTTGTTTCTCTTCCCTTATGACTGTATCTCATTTAATACTCCATCTTCTGTAAATCTGGAAAGACATGCATCTTTATAGACTCAGATTGTAATTACCAAACATCTATTGCTTTCTTAATCATATATTTTTGGGTTCATGATATCTAAGCACTAAGCAGTTGATATTTGGTGGTGGAAGCTTCATTATGAAGCACTAAACGAGGGTTTACCAGAACTTCTGTTTAATGCATATAATCATATCCATTGACAATGTTGCAAGGAATGAGAATGATACTTAGTGACTAATTGTTCTGTTTAATGGTTCAGTGGTACTTATTACTTGATTTATTGCAGAACACATGCTTTTCATGGGTAGTGCAGAATTTCCAGATGAAAATGAGGTTTTTTTTTCCTGCTATTTACTATTTCATTTGTACTTTATTTAGTGGATCTTGTGATCTGTTTTCCTCCCTGTTTTTGACTCTTCTATGTGCTAGTATGACAGTTACTTGTCCAAGCATGGGGGCTCCTCCAATGCATACACAGAAGTTGAGCATACTTGCTACCATTTTGAAGTTAAACCAGAATATATTTCTCCAGGGTGCTTTGAGAAGGTAACTCTACAATCTTTTCAAGTATAGTGCATAGATTTTATCTTTCATGTTATTAGATTGAAGCATACTTAGCCATATCCTCTATATTTCTCAGATTTTCTCAGTTTTTTATTTCGCCATTTGTGAAGAACGAAGCAATGGATCGAGAAGTACAGGCTGTAGATTCAGGTGTGTTTATATTCTACTGAACTGTATTAAATTGTCATGTGCATTTTGCTTAAAATTAACTAAATTATGTTATGGTTCATGGAAAAGTTGTGGGTAAGAATCATGAAGTCATTTTTGGTGTTGCAGAAACTCTTGATGTGGTTGAAAGTTGGGTTCTTGAGCTATTTAGCAAAGTCAAAACCAGCAATGCTTTAAAGTCAGAAGTCAAACCAGGACTCCCCATTTGGAGAGTCCAGGAAAAATTTATCGTTTAGAAGCTGTTAAAGATGTCCATATTCTTGATCTATCATGGACATTACCATGTCTTAGAAAAGACTACACAAAGAAAGCAGAAGACTATTTGGCACATCTCATAGGGCATGGTAAACCACTATATTTCCATAAGATAATAAATTTGCTTTCAATTAAAAAAATGTTAATCTAGTCAATCTACTAAAAGCAAACTTTTGTTTACAGAGGACAGAGGAAGCTTACTCTTCTTTCTAAAAGCAAAAGGATGGGAAACTTCTATATCTGCTGGTGTTGGTGATGATGGAATGCATCGATCTTCAATAGCATACGTTTTTTGGCATGTCTATTTACTTCACTGACTCTGGTCTTGAAAAGGTAATAATTAAAATCACAATCTTTTCTTATCCATGTAAGTAATCGTCATCTTTTTTGGATTTATTAAAAATCTTGTTTGAAAAAATTGCAGATATATTATGAGATCATTGGTTTTGTATATCAATACCTAAAGTTACTGCAACAAAAGTCTCCCCAAGAATGGATCTATAAAGAACTTCAAGACATTGCAAATATGGATTTTACATTTGCTGAAGAACAACCCCAAGATGAATATATATGCTGCAGAGCTTTCAGGTATCTCTTTCTGTTATCTTTTTCATATATATTATATCCTTGTTTTGTTATATCAAATAATATATTTAACAAACTTTTATTGATATTTCAGAAAATTTGCTTATCTATCCACCGGAGCACATTATATATATGGGGATTATGCATACAAAGTGTGGGATGCAGAATTGATCAATCATGTTTTGAGTTTCTTCACACCAGACAACATGAGGATTGATTGATATTAGTATCAAAGTCCTTCAATAAGTCACAAGGTAAAAAAAAAGGATCTCAAGAAACTATGACTTTGAAAGTGGGTTGCTATGATAGACATTTGAGTTTTGAAACATGTTTCATTTGTTGTTTCAGATGTCCAAAGTGAACCATGGTTTGGATCACAGTATAAAGAGGAAAGTATTCCTCCAGAAATAGATGTTGCATTACATCTACCTGCAAAGAACGAATTCATTCCAATTCCAAAAGACTTTTCCATTTGTGCAAACGGGGTAATGTGTGATTCCGCCGATGTATCTCCTCCGGAATGCATAATTGATGAAGTTCTGGTACAAGCTCGATACGTCATTCCGATTCCCACGTGCTAATACTTAATTATTTCCGTGTTACAAATTGAATGACATTGTATATCAGGCAAGTATTTTTGCTATTTATTTTTACATTTTATATATTTGAAACCTGAGGATTTTTTGTAATAACCTGCTTCCTTTTGTTGTAGGCAACTTGGAAACTTCTATATCACTTGTTAGTGACAAATTAGAGCTAAAGGTCTATGGCTTTAATGACAATCTTCCAGTTCTTCTTTCCAAAGTCTTGGAAACTGCCAAAACGTTTTTGCCCACTGATGATCGCTTTGTGGTATGTGCAAATTAAAGAGTGAATTCATAATATTCTAGAGTAGTTTACAAATTTGGTAGTTGAGTTTAGTCCTTTTTTCGGTTTTGGTCCTAAAAGGAATCGGATTGCAATTTTGGTTTTTGATGGTTTATAATGATTTTTGTCCCTGAATCAATAAACATAATTGACAAAATTGCAAAAATGGTCCCTGTGGTTGGCAAAATTATGTGGTTTTTGTCCAAAAAGTTTTAGTGGTGCACCAATGGTCCAAAATTGGATTTTTTTATTGTTTTTGGTCCATATACACTTAAAAAGATGATTATGCCCTTATAATTTATATTTTTCATTATCTTTAATTACTGAAATACATAAACTAATTTACTTTATATTTTTTAACTTAAAACAAAAAAAAGGGCCCACCCACCCCATTTCTCTTTCCCTCTCTCTCTCAACAAAAAACACCCACCCAATTTCTCTGTCATCACTGTTCCCCACCACCATCCACCGCCAACCACCACCATCTTCCGCCAACTACCTCTATTTCCCTCACCCTTACCCTCATCGCTCATTCATTAACCCGATAAAACTTTACCAACAACCACCACACCGTCGTTCACCACCACTATCATCCGCCATCCACCCTATCCCCATTGTCCTCTCTCCCCCCTATCTCGTCGGAAGTCACTCACAAAGCTGAAAACCACCATTAACATATCCCCTTCTTGCCCAGATAAACCAACTGCCCAAATCGATGCAAGGGGTGCTTAAACCCAAAAATTAAACTCCACCCCCAACGTCCTCTCTACCCTATCTCGCCGGAAACCACTGACATCCACCATTCTTTCTTGAAACCAATGTCAATGTCACCATTATCATTGGGGAACCATCATAGAAAACTAGCGAAGTTGTCCTTACCCTTGATCGGCGTTGTCAGCTACCCAAAGCACCTTCATTGTCATCCAATGGCCTTTATCGCCTCCACAGCCTTCATCTCCATCTGTTACAGCCTTACGTACGAGCATCAACCTTCACCATCCAACCAAAAACACCCCTGCACCATCGAGCATCGCCTCCGTCGAAAACCACCACATAGCAAGACCTCACTAGGCCTCCTTATTCACCATATGCTGTCATCATCAGGCCTCCTTTCAGCAATCAGGGTTTTCAGCCGCCACCACTACCTACATCTAAACTCTGATAATCTCCAAGACCAAGAAGGGTACACCCTACATCTGGATTCCAAAAAGAAGATATCTCTATCGAAGAAGGGAAAGCCTAAGGTTTTCTTTGCCTCTTTGTCTCATTCTTTTGCTGGTACAACCGTGGAAGAAAGCGAAGGGCACAGTGGTGGTCTAACAATGATGGTGGTGGTGTTCGAAAAGTGGGTCTGACGGTGGTGGATCTTGAGGGGGACGATTTGTGGTTGCCGGACGATTCTTGGCTCTTGGAATGCACGGTGGTTTTTTTTATAGGAGATAAAGGTACAGAGGAAGAGATAAGAGGGGTGGGTGGGTGAAATTTTTTATTTTTTATTTATTTTTAATTAGAATAATAATAAAATAGTTAAAAGAAATTAAAAAAGAATAATTTAAGGGCATATTCGTCATTTTAGGTAGGGTATGAACCAAAACCACAACAAACGCGAACCATATCGACCAAAATCACACAAGGTATTCAAAATTGGACCATTGATGTACCACCAAATTTTTTTGGACTAAAGTCACAGAATTTTGACAATCACAGGAACCATTTTTGCAATTTTGTCTTGTTATAAATATAAATGAGACAAAATTATTAAAATCGTTGTCGTCGTCATAAAAAAATCAAGGGGCTATTTTGTTATAAATATAAAATATATATCATAACTGTAAAATGAAATTAAAATAAATTACATACGTAAAAATCGTTCATCATTAGTGTTGGGGTTCTTCAAACCCTAACTATTGTGCTCTCGAGAATCATCTCCTGCTGTAAAAACTATGGAACTATTATATCTCATCATTTCTATTTAATTATATACACACTCTGTTTATGTCTTCCTTTTCATTTATGTTGTGTTTAGGGTTTTATTCCCCTTTCTGAACGAGGGTATTTGGTTCCTGATCTTTTACGAAGATCGGAGCGGCCGGTTCTTGTATAAGATTTTCGACGTGTTGAGTTTGAGTCTTCATTGCTGAAGACTTGTATTGTAAGTTTCTTTCTAATTTCTTTTGTTTTGTTTGTGATTGTTACCGAACTCGAAAAGATTGATGATGAGGTATGACATATTAGTTATATTAGTTATTATTCTTTCTTACTTTTTTACATTAATTTTGTTTGTTGTTTGATTAGGTGAAAAACACCATGATAAAAATGACTATTTATAGAGGCTGGCGAAATTAAAGGGGAAGAGTTTGCTTGATCAACTATGCGAAAACGATTCTTTGGAAACACTAATGTATATGTAAGTAATGGTTTTTAAAAAATCTAATATTTTTTTAAATTGTATTTATTTTTCTCTATTTGTTTTCTCAGAATGCGGGCATCCACACTAGAGTTAATGATTAACTTGCATTATCAAACTGTTGAAAACGCTTTAAACATACTCTAAATGATGTTAATTTTTTTAGGAAAACTAGGAAGTATGTTTTTTAAGTGTGTGTGTGTGTGTGTTTAAATGTATATATTTTTATGTTTTTTTTAGCCGTGAAAACCTTAAAGAGGAGAAGCCCATGGAGTGCCGGTTATTAGACCAGATGTAAGTATTAATATTATTACGCTAAGATTTGAGAAGCGTTTTAATGTAATTTCGTGTTTTAAATTGCATTTCAGGTAATTCAATTTGCTGAGAATGAGGGTTTTGATTTGAAGCCAGAAAGAGGAAATGATGGGATTTTAATTCTCACCATGAACGAAAAGGTTCAGAAGTATGAAGCCATTAAAGCTCAAAATTGATGGTGATTATGGTGAACATTAGGCTTAAACCATTAATGCTGAGAGCATTAATGGTTTAAGCATAATGTTCACCATAATCACCATCAATTTTGAGCTTTAATGGCTTCATACTTCTGAACCTTTTCGTTCATGGTGAGAATTAAAATCCCATCATTTCCTCTTTCTGGCTTCAAATCAAAACCCTCATTCTCAGCAAATTGAATTACCTGAAATGCAATTTAAAACACGAAATTACATTAAAACGCTTCTCAAATCTTAGCGTAATAATATTAATACTTACATCTGGTCTAATAACCGGCACTCCATGGGCTTCTCCACCTTTTCCAGTAATGATCTTTAAGGTTTTCACAGCTAAAAAAAACATAAAAATATATACATTTTAAACACACACACACACACACACACATATATATATATATATATATATACTTAAAAGACTTACTTCTTAGTTTTCCTAAAAAAATTAGCATCGTTCAGAGTATGTTTAGAGCGTTTTCAACAGTTTGATAATGCAAGTTAACCATTAACTCTTGTGTGGATGAATGTTTAGAGCGTTTTCAACAGTTTGATAATGCAAGTTAACCATTAACTCTTGTGTGGATGACTGCATTCTGAGAAACACAAATAGAGAAAAATAAATACAATTTAAAAAAAATATTAGATTTTTTAAAAACCAGTACTTACATATACCTTAGTGTTTCCAAAGAATCATTTTCGCATAGTTCATCAAACAAACTCTTCCCCTTTAGTTTACCCAACCTCTCTAGATTGTATTTTTATCATGGTGTTTTTACACCTAATCAAACAACAAACAAAATTAATGTAAAAAAGTAACAAAGAATAATAACTAATGTGTCATACCTCATCATCAATCTTTTCGAGTTCGGCTATAAGCTCTTCAATAGACTTTGTGGATACATTCGACTAGGGGTGACAATTGTTGACACGACACGAAACGAAATTGGAGTTCATGTTTGTGTCGTGTTCGTGTGCAACATTCGACACAAAATTGACACGATTTAGCATTTATCTGTCGTGTGTGTCGTGTTTTTCGTGTTATGTATGATTAAATATTAATTAAATAAACTAATTGTTATATTATGTTATCTTTGTCGTGTCGTGTTTGTCGTTTTTTAATTGGTTCGTTTTCGTGTTAGTTAAAAAAACACGACATCGTGTCGTGTTCGTGTTACATAAAACATTGTTGTGTCGTGTCATACAAAAACACGACACGATGGCCCGATTTGTCGCCCCTACATTCGACCCACTATTAGACGCTTTGATAAAACATTCGACCTACTTTTAGATGTTTTGATAAATTGTCTTGAGGTTAGTTTCTAAACATTTTAGCGACTTTTGTGAGTAAGTGAGGCCATGAATGTAAGGTGACATGATATTGATAGATGATAATTGACACAAACTTCGTCCTACATTTTGCACTTAGATCAGTAAAAAAATTTGAAGATCAACTATAAATCCTAGAGAATTAACTAAACATATATGCAATTCAAGCTCAGGTAACTCAAATTCGAAGAAAAATGTGAAGTCTTCTAATGTTCATACCAGATAATTGATACAAAGCACCAGATGTATAGATTATGTGTTTCTCATGTGTATATATGCTATTGCAGAAGAAAAAAAAAGACGAACAGAAGATTTTGCCAGTTATTAATACTTACATTTTGCACTTAGATCAGTGAAAAATTGTAACTCAACTATAAATCTTAGAGAATTAACTAATTATATATACAATTCAAGCTTGGGTAACACAAATTCGAATAAAATATGTGAAGTCTTCTAATGTATATATCAGATAAGATAATTGATACAAAGCACCACCTTATAAACAATGTAATTAGAATTGAAATAGCATATACACGCTTGAGAAACACATAATCTATACAGCTGGCGTTCATAAAATGTTTTCCCAAACCTAAGTAACTATTGCAGAAGAAAAAAAAAAGACAAGCAGAAGACTTGAAGTGAGTAGCGGAAATAAGAAAATCGGTAACAATCACAAACAAAACAAAAGAAATTAGAAAGAAACTTACAATACAAGTCTTCAGCAATGAAGACTCAAACTCAACACGTTGAAAACCTTATACAAGAACCGGCCGCTCCGATCCTCGTAGAAGACCAGGAACCAAATACCCTTGTTCAGAAAGGGGAATAAAACCATAAACACAACATAAATGAAAAGGAAGACATAAACAGAGTGTGTATATAATTAAATAGAAATGATGAGATATAATCGTTCCATAGTTTTTACAACGGGAGATGATTCTCGAGAGCACAATAGTTGGGGTTTGGAGAACCCCAACACTAATGATGAACGATTTTTACGTATGTAATTTATTTTAATTTCATTTTACAGTTATCATATATAATTTATATTTATAACAAGACAAAATTTCGTATATGCCCTTGCTAAATAACTAAATATCGTATTTGTCCGGCCTAAAATCTAAATATCATATTTGCCCTTCTTAATATTTAATAATATCATATATACCCAAATTTAATTTTTTGTTAATTTTTATTGATTTATAATCCTTTTTTATAACCTTAAATCATTATAATTGAAAATAAATATGAAATGGACAATAATGCCCTTACTTGTAAATCCCAATACCACAGATACTTAAAATCGCTGCTTCCTATCTCACCTTAATTCTGATCGTTGCTTCCCTGTTTTTACTTCCGATCACAACTTGCTTCCCCTCTTATCGCATCAGACTCATGCATCAGGTAAACAAAATGCGACCCTATTATTTTCAATCATCTGGAATGTGAATTCCGTTTTTAGGGTTCCTAGTCTCAATTGTTCAAAATCTTTTTACAATCAGCTTAGTCATGTTGTATTTGATAGCTTAGTTATGTTGGATTTCACTGATTTGTGTCATTGATTCGTCATCTTGTTCATCCATGTTATGTGATTGTTCATCCAATGTGCTTAATGTCCCAAGCCTGACAATTCCCATTAATCTCTTCATGTTCTAGGTTGATACGTTTTGGGGATTTAGTCTATGGAAGTGATCAATTGTTATCCCCTGTTCTTTTTCATTATTTCTTGATGCCAACTGGCTGGGATTGTAATCTTCGACTCTCTATCATCCTACCAAATTTTGATGGAAAAACAGCTTCCCCAAGATCAGGAGGTAAGTTAGCATGTGCGTTTTGAAGCCCATGGAGTTCTGCTAGTGTCTTATCTTCTTTTTTGTTGTTTTAGATTTCAGCCAATGGTGGGCCTGAGAGTCGAGCACTTGGAGCACAAGTAAGTTCTTAAAGTCGTTTCATCATTGACCGATTTTACTATTTTACTACTATCAGAATCTTAATTTGATGTGTTAATGCAGTTAAACATCCACGAGCTTGCTGTCAATCTTACAAAAAGAGGAGACAGTGAAGATCCACTACCGTCAGACCCACTTTTCGGACACCATCACCGTCATTGTTAGACCACAACCGTGCCCTTCGCTTTCTTCAACGGTTGTACCAGCAAAAGAATGAGACAAAGAGGCAAAGAAAACCTTAGGCTTTCCCTTCTTCGATGGAGATATCTTCTTTTTGGAATCGATATGTAGGGTGTACCCTTCTCAGTCCAGATTGGAGATTATCGGAGTTCAGATGTAGGTAGTGGTGGCGGCTGAAAATCTTAATCGTTGAAAGGAGGCCCGATGATGACAACATATAGTGAATAAGGAGGCCTGGTGAGGTGTTGCTCTGTGGTGGTTTTCGATTGAGGCGATGTTCGACGGTGCAGGGGTGCTTTTGGTGGGATGGTGAAGGTTTATGCTTGTACGTAAGGCTGTAACATATAGAGATGGAGGTTGTGGACGTGATAGAGGCCATTGGACGACAATGAAGGTGCTTTGGGTAGCTGACAACGTCGATCAAGGGTAAGGACGACTTTGCTAGTTTTCTATGATGGTTCCCCAACGATAATGGTGACATTGACGGTGGTTTTACGAAAGAATGGTGACTGTCAGTGGTTTCCGGTGAGATAGGGTAGAGAGGACGTTGGGGTGGGGTTTAATTTTTGGGTTTAAGCACCCCTTGCATCGATTTGGGCTCTTGGTTTAGATTTGGGCAAGAAGGGGATATGTTAATGGTGGTTTTCAGCTTTGTGAGTGATTCCCGAAGAGACAGGGGAAGAGAGGACAGTGGGGATGGGGTGGATGGCGACTGATAATGGTGGCGAACGATGGTGTTGTGGTTGGTTGTGAACGCTTATTGGGTTAATGAATGAGATATGGGGGTAAGGGTAAGGGAAATAGAGGTAGTTGGCGGAAGATGGTGGTGGTTGGCGGCGGATGGTGGTGGGGAACGTTGATGACAGAGAAATTGGGTGGGTGTTTTTTGTTGAGAGAGAGGGAAAGAGAAATAGGGTGGGTGGGCCTTTTTTTGTTTTAAGTTAGAAAAAATATAAAGTAAATTAGTTTATGTATTTCAGTAATTAAAGATAATGAAAAATATAAATTATAATGGTATAATCGTCTTTTTTAAGTGTATAGGGATCAAAAACAATAAAAACTAGGAAAAGGTCCGTGCGTTGCACGTGTCATTCTTTTTAGAAAAAGACGGTGAAAGTTGTGTGACGAAATTGAGAAACAATAAACAATGGGGACTAAAATTAGCAAAACTTGAAAATTATATCGCCAAACTCTAAAAGCAAAAACATTCATGTTGAAAGAGTTCTTTTAAAAAAAAAGGCGGTGAAAGTTGTGTGACGAAATTGAGAAAAAATAAACAATGGGGACTAAAATTATTAAAGCTTGAAAATTATGTGGCCTTTTTAAAAAAAGACGGTGAAAGTTGTGTGACGAAATTGAGAAAAAATAAACAATGGAGACTAAAATTATCAAAGTTTGAAAATTATGTGGCAAAACTCCAAAACCAAAAAATTACTGTTGAAATAGTCCATGCGCTTTAATATATATGTATAATATCCAATTTGGACCACTAGTGGACAACTAAAATATTTTGGACAAAAACCATATAATTTTGCCAACCACACAGAGACCATTTTTACAATTTTGTCTTATA